TAGACCCTAGACCCTGAACCCCTAAACCCTAAGCCCCTAAACCCTGAGCCCTAAACGTCTTTGCTGCTGAAGCACCGGGGGCTCCCCAGTGCCGGCATAGGCCGGGGAGGAGACGACAAAAAGCGCCTCTGCACGACTTCGGTGGTTCTTGTAGAGGGTTTAGGGTTTAGGGTTTAGGGTTTAGGGTTTAGGGTTTAGGTTAGGGTTTAGGGTTTAGGGTTTAGGGTTTAGGGTTTAGGGTTTAGGGTTTAGGGTTTAGGGTTTTTAGGAGTTGGAGTTCGGAAGTTTAGCTATAGGGTTTCGGGATTCAAAGTTCAGGATTTGGGCCTTTGGGCTTGGGGAGTTTGAGGTGCGAGGCTTTCGGGCTTGAGCTGCAGAGGGCTTCGGGCTTACACGTTTAGGTTTAGGGCTTAGGGTTTAGGGTTTAGGATTAGGGCTGCGAGAATTCGGCGCAGAGAGTCGGAGAGGTTGCGGTTTAGGGCTGAACCCCTCCTAATATGGCCTATAAGTTTTAATTATAATTGTAGTTATCTTACTAATAACCCCATTTCTAACTACCCGTGAACCTCCAAGTAGGGTTGCTAGATGTTTCCGGGGTTTAGGCTTGAGCCGTACGGCCTCTAGTAGCTAGTGCTGCAAGATTACAGTTTTTAGTTCGCCAAGTCCCGAGGTTTCATGGTCTGCAAACTCAAGAACGCCAAAAACAACTACACCCACTTGAACCCCCACGCTATCACCCGAAAGCTCCCAAAGAACGCAACGATGACGCAATTGGATCACTCATAGTTGTTTCGTCGGCAAGACTTTGGGGAAGTATAATATGATTGCTGGGACATGGACCCTCAAGGGTAACCTGCTGAATCCTAACCCTAAACCCGAAACCCTAAACCCTACCCTATACTTGGAGGTTCATGGGTAGTTATAAGCGGGGTTATAAGTAGGGTAACTATAGATTATAACCTATACTAGGGAACTTATAACCCTACTTATAACTACCCATGAACCTCCAAGTACAGAATCCTTGCACCTTACAGCCGCAACTCATGTCACCTCGCGCCTCGAACCCTGAAGCCCAGAGCTGAAAAACAGCGGCCCCTAGGAAGCCCTCGTTCGGAGAAAATCTCGGTTAACATCTACTCACTCTCCCTAAACCCCTAAGCCCTAAACCCCTAAACCCTAAACACCCTACACCCCTGAACCCTAAACCCTAAGCACCCTACACCCCTGAACCCTAAACAACCTAAACCCATGAACCCTAAACCCCAAACCCCAAAACTCTAAACACCCTAAACCCCTGAACCCTAAACCCCAAACCCCAAAACTCAGGGGTTGAAAACCCGTATTGAAAATAAAAAAAAATTCTCGGCGTCAAAGCTTGATCGGCTCTTTGGTTCAGGTACTGGCCACTCCTACCCGCTGGAAGGCTTTACATAAAACCTGGTGTAGGGTTTAGGGGGCTTAGGGGGTTTAGGGTTTAGGGTTTAGGGTTTAGGGGGTTTAGGGTTTAGGGCTTAGGGTTTTGGGCTTTGGGGGTTTAGGGTCCTGGCATGTAAGATTGTGCGTGATGTTGACCATGCTTACTCTCCAGGGAGAGCTGTTTTCCCCCCATGGGTTAGGGTTTAGGGTTTAGGGTTTAGGGTTTAGGGTTTAGGGTTTAGGGTTTAGGGTTTAGGGTTTAGGGTTTAGGGGTTTCAGAACGCCCAGACGCCCATGGAACAAAGCTAGAACTCCTCCGAACAGAAACCTGCTCGTCTCATATAACTCCGGGTCTTTATTAGGGTGCTTAATATGAACCCTGATATCTTTGGGGCTACAGGGCCAGGGTTTCTTAATCAGGTTCCTACATTAGACATGACCCTCGAAGCTCCTTAAACCCTAAACTCCTAAACCCTAAAGACTTACACCCTAAACCCTAACCCTAAACCCCTAAACCCTAAAGCCTAAAGCCTTACACCCTAAACCCAAAGCCCTAAACCCTAAACCCTCAACCCTATAGACCCCAAACCCTAAACCCCTAAACCCTCAACCCCCAAACCCTAAGATGCCAACTCTGTACAGCGGCCTCTGTGATGCCGAATCCATAGCAGACCAAGCACACGACCAGCAGGACATACCTCAGACTTCGCTTGGCAAGGCTGCAAAAAGTGCTGAACAAAAACAGGACTAACCCTAAATCCCCAAACCCCTAGGTCCCTAGGTTTAGTGATCGCGTCTATGAATACCTATACATACATATGTATGTGTATATATATATATATATATATCCCCACTGTTCTGTCCCCTGCTGTGCCGTTCGTTTCCGGTGTCACAGCATCTCCTTCTCGCTGCACCTGTATCTGCTCCACAATGTATGCATGATGGTGCGTCAACAACTGTACATACGCTGCTGCTGATGATGATGATGATGATGAGGATGCTTGGTGATGACGACGATGATGACGGTGATGATGCTGACGGTGATGATGCTGTTGCTCCAGCGTGGCCACATAGTTGTACATGCCGACGTCGTCGTCCTTGTTGTTGTTGGTCGTACTTGTGGTCGCGGCCGTGGTGGTCGTGCTTGTGGTGGTGTTGGTTTTGTGGTGTTTATGCTATTGGTGGTCTTGTTGTTGGTGATGTTGGCAGTTATGTTTGTCGTTGGTGTTGTCGTTGTTGCTGCTGCTGCCCGTGTTGTTTTTTTTTCTCGGGCTGCTGTTGTGGTCGTGGTCGCTGTCCTGGTCGTGTGTGCTGTTGTTGCTGCTGTTGCAGTTGGCATTGTCATAATTGTTGTTGCTGTTGTTGCTGTTGTTGCTGTTGTTGCTGCTGTTGCCGTTGCTGTTGTTGTTGTTGTTGTTGTTGTTGTTTTTGTTGTTGTTGCTGTTGCTGGTGCTGTTGCTGTTGCTGCTGGTGTTGTTGTTGCTGCTGCTGCTGTTGTTGTTGTTGTTGTTGTTGTTGTTGTTGTTGTTGTTGTTGAAGTTGTTGTTGTTGTTGTTGAAGTTGTTGTTGTTGTTGTTGTTGTTGTTGTTGTTG